GACGACAGACAAATTGTTAAAAATCAGGACTGTACCCCCAAAAGTGGGATGTCTGGTCACCTTATTTTAGAGATTAATACTCCTTTGCCCACGTAGAATGCAACATCATCATCATAGCTCACGGCAACCCCAAACTCCTGGGTGATCCTTCTTTCTAGTAGCTAGAACTGTAAGAGCATGCCATGATATCACAATAATTTTTCCATTTTTAGTAGAGGTGGGGTCTTGCTCATGCTCAGGCTGGTCTCGAACTCCTGAGCTCAAGCAGTCCTCCTGCCTTGGCCTCCCAGAGTGCTAGAATTACAGGCGTGAGCCACCTTATCTGGTCCAACTCTTTTGTTTTATTTTTAGGTACAGGTTTGGGGAGGCATATTTCTTAATTAATATTTAATTTAATATCTTTATTATTTATTTATTTATTTTTTGGCTGGAGCTGGGTTTGAACCCGCCGCCTCCGGCATATGGGGCCGACATCCTACCCTTTTGAGTCATAGGCGCCGCCCTATTATTTAAATTTTTTAATATTAAATATCTAACTTTTTTTTTTTTAGAGACAGAGTCTCACTTTATCACCCTCAGTAGAGTGCTGTGGCATCACATCTCACAGCAACCTCTAACTCCTGTGCTTAGGTGATTCCCTTGCCTCAGCCTCCCAAGTAGCTGGAACTACAGGCACCTGCCACAATGCTCAGCTATTTTTTTGTTGCAATTTGGCCAAGGCCGAGTTTGAACCCACCACCCTTGATATATGGGGCCAGCACCTTACTCACTGAGCCAGAGGCGCCACCCTAAATATCTAATTTTTAAATAAAATTCAAATAATACTTGACACTTATTTAATATTTAATATCTTTATTGGAAGAAGATGCCTATTCTTAGAGCCAGAGCCATAACAAATTGAGGGCATGACAAATTGAGGCAACTATCCCAGCCTCTATGCTGCTGAAGGGCCAGATAATTAGGTACCAATTCTGGGAGCCATCTACTGTTCCAAAAGTTTCCTTTTTTCCAAGAAAGGCTCAGTAGGAAATCCTTGTGAATTGAAGTAATTTTTAATTTAACATTATAGAGATTTGCCTAAATATCTGTGTAACATTCCTTGTTCACACTCTGTCTTATCCTTATTGTGCCAGAGGACACATTGATGTTCTGGAAAGGAATAGCTGACGTAGGGCTGATGGAAGAGGTTGTCTGCAATATACAGAAGGAAATAGATGAGCTACTCAGGGGAGTTCAGCAGCGGCTCGTCCAGGCTCCCTTCCAGGTCACAGGTAAGTGTGTTGATCCTAACAGTAGCAGTCAGTTATTGAATACTCTCAACTGTAGGCAGGTCCTGTTAGCCTCACAAAGACCCAAAGATACAGGTATTACTATCTGCATTTGCTAGATAAGGGAACTAAGGCTCATTAAAGTTAAGTCACTTGTCCAAGTTTCATAACTGAATTTTGAACTCAGGTCTAGCTATGCTTTTCCCACAGGTAATGTTTGCCTTTATAAAGGGTGCCTGAAAGCAATCTCTTTCTCTCTCTGTAGATAAATTTTTTTGCAGATTCTCTCTCTCTCTTTCCCTCTTTCTCTCTTTATACACACACACACACACACGTACATATATATGTATGTCTATACATATATACTTAAACTCATAACACTCATATACACTCACACAGAGGATGCCAAAAAATGTATAGACATTTTATGAAAGGAAAAAACTATATTAAAGATGTAATTCTCAATATATACCAATAACAAAAGATGAATACAAGTCATGTTTGACTTCTGCAATTACAAGAGGTGCTCAAAGTGGCAACCATCAGCATCCAGACACTTCTGATTTTGGTGAACTACTGCTTGAGCAACGTTAGCCAGAGGCCTCTGTATCTTTGCTTTTCCACATCACACACAGTACTCAACAATGTGCTCAGGTGTTAGGCTTGTTAGAGGTTCTGTTGCATATTCACATTTCCATTGTCATTGAACTTCCACAATGTTCTCAGATTTCAAATACCACTTCAAGGGGCGGCGCCTGTGGCTCATAGAAGTAGGGCGCCGGCCCCATATGCCAAAGGTGGTGGGTTCAAACCCA